ATGGTCCTAAGAACAAGACCTGCTCGATCTGCATTCACAGTGGGGATCAGAGTGGACTTTCCTCAAAAACTGTCCAAACTTTAGTCTGGGGTCTTGTGACCACACTGGTGGCACTGGCCCAGCAGAGTCAGTTAATTCTGGTCCGTGTTCATGGTGTGGGATCCTGTACCTCCAAGCACTTCCATGTAGTTCTCTCCATTGTAATAATGTGAGCACAGAGTGAACATTCTGAGTTGGAGTGGAGTGGAGTGACCTCAGTCACTATGGCAAGTCCTTTCTCTTCTAAAGGATCCAGCAGGGGCAAAGCATTCAGCAGGCTTCCACTAATCGTTCCGGAAGTTTCTGTGACTCACAAAGCAAAGGAGAAGAATTAGAACTGGGCCTAAATCCTCTCTGGAGGTGGGAGCACTTTTCTGGGAAGTCTGTCTCCAGCCCTGAGAAGCAAGGAAAGGCACTTTGTTTTTCATTTATTATTTTTCTAAGATTACATTTTTGTTTTTTAAATGATGTTTACATGTGTGTGCATATTTGAGCAGGTGCCAATGGAATCTAGAAGAGGGTGTCAGATCCCCTGGAGCTGGAGTTATAGAGAGCTGTGAGCTTCCAACATGGGTGCTGGGAACTGAACTTGGGTCATTCTGCAAGAGCAGTACATACTCTTAACCACTGAGCCATCTCTCCAGTCTCCTGCTTTTTTATTTTTGTGAGTCAGTCTCAAATAGCCCAGGCTGGCCTCGAGCTCAATATGTATCCAAGGATGACCTTGAATTTCTGATTCTTCTGACTCTATCTCCCAAGTTCTATAGCACACAGGATTGAGTTCAATGTCACCAGGAAGCTTTTTTCCAAAGTTGTACTGTACTTAAATATTCCTAAAATAAACCACCCGGTGTCAGGTTAGAGTTTGAACCAACACAGTTACTGAGTCCTGTTGAAACAGATTTCCTTCTTGCCTCACATGGATTATTACTCTGCTGGCCCTGGTGGTTGCAGAGATCCCCACAGGCTGGGATTTGAACTCTGTACCATCTGGTCTATGGAGGATAAGTAGCACTGATATTGTTCTGTTGCCTCCTGTACTTAGCAACAGGAGGCCCACACATTCTCCCCCTACCACTTCACTGTCCTGGCATTGTCTGTCCATGAACATCAGCTTTTCTTTCTCATCTACCTCACCCTGGACCTCACAAGAGCATCTCACCTCTGAGCTATAGACCCTGTGTCATAGCTGTCTCCTGCCTGAACAGCTGCTGACCTTGTTCCTTCATCCTTTGCCCCTGCTGTCAATCACAGAACTATTCATACATCCCCCTCCAAATCCCAATGGGGGCAGGGGCTGTAAGTAGGCTAGCCTAGCACATGCAAGGGAGGTCCCGTCTGAGAGTGAGAGTTCTCAGGGGAATGAGGGCTGCCCTACATAGTGGTTCTGTTCGGGTAGAAACTGGCCCCAAGGTCATGTCAGAGGGCTGCCAACCCATCCCCTGGATGCTATGTTAGTTTCTCATTGATGTGGCAAGATATCTGACATAAGCCAAGGGGGGGATTTATTTAGGGTTTGTGGCTTCAAAGGCGGTTTTGGTCCATGGTTGACTGATGAGGAGGGTGTCATGAAGGGGCGGGGTTCTGTGGCAGAGAAGGCTACCAACATCATGACATCCAGGAAGCAGTGGCAGATAGCAAGGGGCAAGGGACAGGATGCAACATTCAGAGGCATACTCCCAGTGACCTACTTCCCCCAACCAGGTCACATCCTTCAAATTTCCCAGTACCCTTTCAAGCTGAAGACCAAACACAGAACACGTGAACCTTGGGGTTCTAGCTTGAGTCTCCATGTTGTGATAAAACACTCTGAACAAAAGCAACTTGAGGAGTAGATTGTTTTAGCTTGAACTTTCAGGAGAGTCCGTAACGGCGGGGAAGATATGCCCTGGTGCCGGAGCAGGAAGCTGTCTGATCCACATTGTCACCCACACACAGGAGGGAGAGGGAGGGAGCAGGAAGCGGGGCAAGGCTGGGAACCTTCAAAGCTTATCCCCAGAAACACACCTTCCCCAGCAAGGTTCCACCTCTTCAAGATCCTATATCCTCCGGGAAACAGCGGGGGAATAAGTCTTTCCCTACATAAGCCTATGAGGGACATTTCTCACTCGAACCTAGACAAGCGTCTGTCATAGGCACAATCCCTGATGTTCTACACACACACACTGATGTACCAAATAGTGCCCCTGATGTTGCCAGTAGCACACTGTGTCTGTGCTCTCCCAAGGCCGGGTCAGCCAGCAGAGCAGTGGGCGGGGTCTCCACATAGGCATGGGGTTACTTTCTCATGCCTTCCCCCTCTCCCTTCTGCTCCCTCAAAGCCAGAATGACGGGTGTGTGGGGCTGCAGGGACCAGCTGCAGGGACTCCTAAAAGCAAGCTCATTTTGTCATTATTTTTAAGTGTTTGATCACTGTAGTACATTATAAATCAAAAAGTACTGAAGTTCTCAAATTACCTCTCCACCTCCCTGTTCAACTCTATAGCTCCTCCAATGCCTCAATTTTAGGCATCTCACCTCCATAACCATACGAGAATGACTGTGTTGTTTGAAGCCAATAAACTTGTGGTAAATGCTAGTGCCGCTATAGGAAGCTAAAAACAATATTCCTTTAAACAAGAAAAGAGTATACTTTATAAGCTCAATGTTTTATTATCTAAGTCATCATGTTTCCCTTATATATTTCCCTTGGGATTTGTAGATTGTCAGTTAAGTTACATTTGAAAACCCCTGCCATTGCCCTGCAAGCCAGAGCAAACACAGGGAGCCTGCTTGGCCCACTCTTGCCAGAGAAAAGAACGATCAGGGGCCTGATGTGGTGTTCGGGGCAGGGTTTTGAGCCAAAACAGCTGGAGCTTCACCAGGCTCTGCAGCCCACTGGCTCCATGAACTGGGGCAAGCTGCTAACATTCCTGGTGTTTCAGATATTGTCTGAATTGTAGAACCCTGTCACTTCAGGGTTCATGTGCTGGAGGTTTGGTCCTCAGTGTAGTGGTACCGAAGGGTGGTGGAACCTCTAAGAGGTGGCACCTAGTGAAAGAACATTAGATCCCTGGGCACCATCCTTGGAAGGAACTAATACCACTCCCTGATGTAAGTTAGGGGGTGGGGTGATGGCTCAGTGGGTATGAAAGACCCCCAAAGAGGTACTTTCGTAGGAGGAGACCCCCGTACTCAGGAACCAGCGAGACCACGATTTTGGATGCAAATTGCAAGAGGCTTTATTGAGGAGACGGGTACCCGGGAGACTTAGCTTTTCTGAGGCCAAGCGCGCCGAGCCAAGGGAAAGGGGTCCTTATATAGGGAAAAAGGCGCAAGCTAGAAGCAGGGATTCTATTGGATAATTCTAATGAGGCATTGTACAGAGCTATTCCTATTGGTCAATGTAAATGAGGCGCTATACAGGGTTATTCAAATGAGGCGAAGTATAGAGTCATTCAAATGAGGTGAAACACAGAGTCTTTCAAATGAGGCGAAATACAGAATCATTTCTATTGGATGGTTCAAATGAGACACAGAGCCATTCCAGATCAGCATATTCTCAAGGTCTGCTGTCTGGTATAACAGATTCAATTCCCCCCCCCCCCCCCCCCCCAAAGGGGCCCCTCAGGGGGGGGGCCCCTTGG